TAATGTAGCTAACTCTTACTAATGTAGCTAACTCTTACTAATGTAGCTAACTCTTACTAATGTAGCTAACTCTTACTAATGTAGCTAACTCTTACTAATGTAGCTAACTCTTACTAATGTAGCTAACTCTTACTAATGTAGCTAACTCTTACTAATGTAGCTAACTCTTACTAATGTAGCTAACTCTTACTATGTAGCTAACTCTTACTATGTAGCTACTCTTCATGTGCTAACTCTTACTAATGTAGCTAACTCTTACTAATGTAGCTAACTCTTACTAATGTAGCTAACTCTTACTAATGTAGCTAACTCTTACTAATGTAGCTAACTCTTACTAATGTAGCTAACTCTTACTAATGTAGCTAACTCTTACTAATGTAGCTAACTCTTACTAATGTAGCTAACTCTTACTAATGTAGCTAACTCTTACTAATGTAGCTAACTCTTACTAATGTAGCTAACTCTTACTAATGTAGCTAACTCTTACTAATGTAGCTAACTCTTACTAATGTAGCTAACTCTTACTAATGTAGCTAACTCTTACTAAATGTAGCTAACTCTTACTAATGTAGCTAACTCTTACTAATGTAGCTAACTCTTACTAATGTAGCTAACTCTTACTAATGTAGCTAACTCTTACTAATGTAGCTAACTCTTACTAATGTAGCTAACTCTTACTAATGTAGCTAACTCTTACTAATGTAGCTAACTCTTACTCTACTATGTAGCTAACTCTTACTAATGTAGCTAACTCTTACTAATGTAGCTAACTCTTACTAATGTAGCTAACTCTTACTAATGTAGCTAACTCTTACTAATGTAGCTAACTCTTACTAATGTAGCTAACTCTTACTAATGTAGCTAACTCTTACTATGTAGCTAACTCTTACTAATGTAGCTAACTCTTACTAATGTAGCTAACTCTTACTAATGTAGCTAACTCTTACTAATGTAGCTAACTCTTACTAATGTAGCTAACTCTTACTAATGTAGCTAACTCTTACTAATGTAGCTAACTCTTACTAATGTAGCTAACTCTTACTAATGTAGCTAACTCTTACTAATGTAGCTAACTCTTACTAATGTAGCTAACTCTTACTAATGTAGCTAACTCTTACTAATGTAGCTAACTCTTACTAATGTAGCTAACTCTTACTAATGTAGCTAACTCTTACTAATGTAGCTAACTCTTACTAATGTAGCTAACTCTTACTAATGTAGCTAACTCTTACTAATGTAGCTAACTCTTACTAATGTAGCTAACTCTTACTAATGTAGCTAACTCTTACTAATGTAGCTAACTCTTACTAATGTAGCTAACTCTTACTAATGTAGCTAACTCTTACTAATGTAGCTAACTCTTACTAATGTAGCTAACTCTTACTAATGTAGCTAACTCTTACTAATGTAGCTAACTCTTACTAATGTAGCTAACTCTTACTAATGTAGCTAACTCTTACTAATGTAGCTAACTCTTACTAATGTAGCTAACTCTTACTAATGTAGCTAACTCTTACTAATGTAGCTAACTCTTACTAATGTAGCTAACTCTTACTAATGTAGCTAACTCTTCTAATGTAGCTAACTCTTACTAATGTAGCTAACTCTTACTAATGTAGCTAACTCTTACTAATGTAGCTAACTCTTACTAATGTAGCTAACTCTTACTAATGTAGCTAACTCTTACTAATGTAGCTAACTCTTACTAATGTAGCTAACTCTTACTAATGTAGCTAACTCTTACTAATGTAGCTAACTCTTACTAATGTAGCTAACTCTTACTAATGTAGCTAACTCTTACTAATGTAGCTAACTCTTACTAATGTAGCTAACTCTTACTAATGTAGCTAACTCTTACTAATGTAGCTAACTCTTACTAATGTAGCTAACTCTTACTAATGTAGCTAACTCTTACTAATGTAGCTAACTCTTACTAATGTAGCTAACTCTTACTAATGTAGCTAACTCTTACTAATGTGTAGCTAACTCTTACTAATGTAGCTAACTCTTACTAATGTAGCTAACTCTTACTAATGTAGCTAACTCTTACTAATGTAGCTAACTCTTACTAATGTAGCTAACTCTTACTAATGTAGCTAACTCTTACTAATGTAGCTAACTCTTACTAATGTAGCTAACTCTTACTAATGTAGCTAACTCTTACTAATGTAGCTAACTCTTACTAATGTAGCTAACTCTTCTAATGTACTACCTTACTAATGTAGCTAACTCTTACTAATGTAGCTAACTCTTACTAATGTAGCTAACTCTTACTAATGTAGCTAACTCTTACTAATGTAGCTAACTCTTACTAATGTAGCTAACTCTTACTAATGTAGCTAACTCTTACTAATGTAGCTAACTCTTACTAATGTGTAGCTAACTCTTACTAATGTAGCTAACTCTTACTAATGTAGCTAACTCTTACTAATGTAGCTAACTCTTACTAATGTAGCTAACTCTTACTAATGTAGCTAAACTCTTACTAATGTAGCTAACTCTTACTAATGTAGCTAACTCTTACTGATGTAGCTAACTCTTACTAATGTAGCTAACTCTTACTAATGTAGCTAACTCTTACTAATGTAGCTAACTCTTACTAATGTAGCTAACTCTTACTAATGTAGCTAACTCTTACTAATGTAGCTAACTCTTACTGATGTAGCTAACTCTTACTAATGTAGCTAACTCTTACTAATGTAGCTAACTCTTACTAATGTAGCTAACTACTTACTAATGTAGCTAACTCTTACTAATGTAGCTAACTCTTACTAATGTAGCTAACTCTTACTAATGTAGCTAACTCTTACTAATGTAGCTAACTCTTACTAATGTAGCTAACTCTTACTAATGTAGCTAACTCTTACTAATGTACTAATGTAGCTAACTCTTACTAATGTAGCTAACTCTTACTAATGTAGCTAACTCTTACTAATGTAGCTAACTCTTTACTGCCGACCCGGCGCCATTTGTGTTGGCATTCTGTGGGCAAGACAATAGAAAAAGAAGCTGAAACGTGTTAATGTCGTGATAAAGTTGAAAATGGTCATCTCCTGCTGGGTCAATGGATGTTCAAATCGTGCCGGAGGTTCCGTTAAACTTGGATTTTACAGTATACCCATCATTAGACTTCATGAATGTGAGAAGACTAAGCTTTTGTCAGAACAACCACGGAGGTTATGGCTTGCGAAGATAAACAGGCAAGAAACTCCCTCAAAACACGCAAGAATATGCTCGGAGCACTTTGTGTCAGGTGCGTATCGTATCTTATAATGTGTTGACAGACGTAATTTACTCAGTACTAACTTGTGTATGCTGATATCTGGTAACTTGAGAGTTTCATTATTTAGATTACTTTATTATGAGGAGGATCGGTGTCGCGTCCGAGGCTCTCGAGGGCAACGTAAATGTATTAAATAGATAATAATAGTTCTATGGTGGGCTAAAACAATGTTCACAAACAGCATTGCTTCTGTAAAAAGATCTGTGTCATAAAATAAACTGCTCTTTACGCCTGGAAAAATCAGTTGCCCACCATTCACCAAAACATACGGTCAAAAACGCGGAAATAAACAATAACAGCAATCCAGAGTGTCCGTGTGGCATTAGCATTAATTAAATTAATTGTTGATATAATTAAAATAATTAAATGGAGCTCCAACTGGTATTAAATCTAAAGTTTTTGAGAAATGTTTGCATTGCTTGTTAATTTTTGCTGCATAATTTGATCAAATATGTAAAACATGTCCGTAGCACGTTAAACTGTGGTGCCATTGTATTAATATACAATTATTTGCTCAAAAGTTGCCCTTTTTTTCCAATTTGCGTTTGAATATCTACATTTATTCTCATTCTTCTGTTTAATGGAATGCACAAACACAGCAGCGTGCCATCAAAGATGGCGTCTCCGAGGAGGTCATGTGACATTCATTGGTCTGTGGGAACTATGTATTGGGAAGTGCTCATGGTGAAGTTTTGCTCCAACTCTCTCTGGCTCCGATTGACTAAATGTACTTGAAATTTAAAGCACAGAGGGGCCAGAGAGAGACCAGAGAGAGACCAGAGAGAGACCAGAGAGAGACCAGAGAGAGACCAGAGAGAGACCAGAGAGAGACCAGAGAGAGACCAGAGAGAGACCAGAGAGAGAGACCAGAGAGAGACCAGAGAGAGAGACCAGAGAGAGACCAGAGAGAGAGACCAGAGAGAGACCAGAGAGAGACCAGAGAGAGACCAGAGAGAGACCAGAGAGAGACCAGAGAGAGACCAGAGAGAGACCAGAGAGAGACCAGAGAGAGAGACCAGAGAGAGACCAGAGAGAGACCAGAGAGAGAGACCAGAGAGAGACCAGAGAGAGACCAGAGAGAGAGACCAGAGAGAGACCAGAGAGAGACCAGAGAGAGACCAGAGAGAGAGACCAGAGAGAGACCAGAGAGAGAGACCAGAGAGAGACCAGAGAGAGACCAGAGAGAGACCAGAGAGAGACCCAGAGAGAGACCAGAGAGAGAGACCAGAGAGAGAGACCAGAGAGAGACCAGAGAGAGAGACCAGAGAGAGACCAGAGAGAGACCAGAGAGAGACCAGAGAGAGAGACCAGAGAGAGACCAGAGAGAGAGACCAGAGAGGGACCAGAGAGAGAGACCAGAGAGAGACCAGAGAGAGACCAGAGAGAGAGACCAGAGAGAGACCAGAGAGAGACCAGAGAGAGACCAGAGAGAGAGACCAGAGAGAGACCAGAGAGAGACCAGAGAGAGACCAGAGAGAGAGACCAGAGAGAGACCAGAGAGAGAGACCAGAGAGAGACCAGAGAGAGACCAGAGAGAGAGACCAGAGAGAGACCAGAGAGAGACCAGAGAGAGACCAGAGAGAGAGACCAGAGAGAGACCAGAGAGAGAGACCAGAGAGAGACCAGAGAGAGTCCAGAGAGAGATCAGAGAGAGACCAGAGAGAGACCAGAGAGAGACCAGAGAGACCTCCCTGAGCTGCCCCCCCCCCCCTCTCACCTCTGCAGGCCCGGCGGTGGGAGATGGTCTTGGTCAGGTCTCTGTAGTAGCCCTCTTTGCAGTAGTGGCAGTGGCGTCCCGCAGTGTTGTGGCGACAGTTCAAACAGACGCCTCCGCTGCGGCGTCCCGACAGTTTGTACAGCTCCATGTTGAAGCGGCAGCGGCGAGCGTGAAGGTTACAGTGACAGGCTGAAAGCAGACCAATCAGGAGTGAGATTTTACCCCTAGCAACCGCATAGCAACAGTTTCATATGTTCATGTGATAGAATTATATTTCCGTTTTTCTGCAGGTGTCTGTCACAATATTATGACAGACCAGAGAGGGAGACCAGAGGGAGAGACCAGAGGGAGAGACCAGAGAGAGACCAGAGAGAGAGACCAGAGAGAGACCAGAGAGAGAGACCAGAGGGAGAGACCAGAGGGAGAGACCAGAGGGAGAGACCAGAGAGAGAGACCAGAGAGAGACCAGAGAGAGAGACCAGAGAGAGAGACCAGAGAGAGACCAGAGAGAGAGACCGGGGAGAGACCAGAGAGAGAGACCAGAGAGAGAGACCAGAGAGAGAGACCAGAGAGAGACCAGAGAGAGAGACCAGAGAGAGACCAGAGAGAGAGACCAGAGGGAGAGACCAGAGGGAGAGACCAGAGGGAGAGACCAGAGAGAGAGACCAGAGAGAGACCAGAGAGAGAGACCAGAGAGAGACCAGAGAGAGAGACCAGAGGGAGAGACCAGAGGGAGAGACCAGAGAGAGACCAGAGAGAGAGACCAGAGAGAGACCAGAGAGAGAGACCAGAGGGAGAGACCAGAGGGAGAGACCAGAGGGAGAGACCAGAGAGAGAGACCAGAGAGAGACCAGAGAGAGAGACCAGAGAGAGAGACCAGAGAGAGACCAGAGAGAGAGACCGGGGAGAGACCAGAGAGAGAGACCAGAGAGAGAGACCAGAGAGAGAGAGACCAGAGAGAGACCAGAGAGAGAGACCAGAGAGAGACCAGAGAGAGACCAGAGGGAGAGACCAGAGAGAGAGACCAGAGAGAGAGACCAGAGAGAGAGACCAGAGGAGAGACAGAGAGAGAGACCAGAGAGAGAGACCAGAGAGAGAGACCAGAGGGAGAGACCAGAGAGAGACCAGAGAGAGAGACCAGAGAGAGACCAGAGAGAGAGACCAGAGAGAGACCAGAGAGAGAGACCAGAGGGAGAGACCAGAGAGAGAGACCAGAGAGAGAGACCAGAGGGAGAGACCAGAGAGAGACCAGAGAGAGAGACCAGAGAGAGACCAGAGAGAGAGACCAGAGGGAGAGACCAGAGAGAGACCAGAGAGAGAGACCAGAGAGAGAGACCAGAGAGAGAGACCAGAGGGAGAGACCAGAGAGAGACCAGAGAGAGAGACCAGAGAGAGACCAGAGAGAGAGACCAGAGAGAGACCAGAGAGAGAGACCAGAGGGAGAGACCAGAGAGAGAGAGACCAGAGAGAGAGACCAGAGAGAGAGACCAGAGAGAGACCAGAGAGAGAGACCAGAGAGAGAGACCAGAGAGAGACCAGAGAGAGAGACCGGGGAGAGACCAGAGAGAGAGACCAGAGAGAGAGACCAGAGAGAGAGACCAGAGAGAGAGACCAGAGAGAGAGCCAGAGAGAGAGACCAGAGAGAGACCAGAGAGAGACCAGAGGGAGAGACCAGAGAGAGAGACCAGAGAGAGAGACCAGAGAGAGAGACCAGAGGGAGAGACCAGAGAGAGAGACCAGAGAGAGAGACCAGAGGGAGAGACCAGAGAGAGACCAGAGAGAGAGACCAGAGAGAGACCAGAGAGAGAGACCAGAGAGAGACCAGAGAGAGAGACCAGAGGGAGAGACCAGAGAGAGAGACCAGAGAGAGAGACCAGAGGGAGAGACCAGAGAGAGACCAGAGAGAGAGACCAGAGAGAGACCAGAGAGAGAGACCAGAGGGAGAGACCAGAGAGAGACCAGAGAGAGAGACCAGAGAGAGAGACCAGAGAGAGAGACCAGAGGGAGAGACCAGAGAGAGACCAGAGAGAGAGACCAGAGAGAGACCAGAGAGAGAGACCAGAGAGAGACCAGAGAGAGAGACCAGAGAGAGACCAGAGAGAGACCAGAGAGAAAGATCAGAGAGAGACCAGAGAGAGACCAGTAAGAGAGACCACTGAGTGAAACCAGTGAGAGAGACCAGAGAGAGAGACCAGAGAGAGAGACCAGTGAGAGAGACCAGAGAGAGAAACCAGAGAGACCAGAGAGAGAAAAACTAGAGAGAGAGACCAGTGAGAGAAACCAGGAAGAGACCGGAGAGAGAGACCAGAGAAAGAGACCAGAGAGACAGAGAGACTAGAGAGAGACCAGAGAGAGAGACAGAGAGAGACCAGAGAGAGAGAGACCGGAGAAAGAGACCAGAGAGAGACCAGAAAGAGAGATTAGAGGGAGAGACCAGAGGGAGAGAGACCGGAGAGTGAGACCAGAGGGAGAGAGCCAGAGAAGGAGACCAAAGAAAGGGAGGAGAGAGAGACCAGACCAGAGAGAGACCAGAGAGAGATCAGAGCGAGACCCGAAAGAGCCACTAGAGAAAGAGAGAAAAGTTGGGTTCCTGAGCTTCAACAATGAAAACATTTGAAGTTACTAACATCACTTTGAGCAGAGCTGATTGATTTCCTAATCTGCACAGACAGATTCTCACATGTGTTTTAAAACTTCACCCTTTTTCTACATTTCAATTTTGAACGCAGCGTAAACAAACCGTGGGCCGCCAGAACCAATTCATTTTCCTGTAGTGGAGCCGTAGCTAACGCAGCGTGACACCATCGCAGAATGCTAATCCAGGAATGACCACAGCACTGTTTCTATAACCACAGCAGATCTGATTTCAGACCAGAGAGACCAGCACCCAGAGAGAGACCAGGGTGAGACCAGAGAGAGACCAGAGAGAGACCAGAGAGACCAGAGAGAAACCAGAGAGAGACCAAAGAGAGACCAGAGAGAGACCAGAGAGAGACCAGAGAGAGACCAGAGAGAGACCAGAGAGAGGCCAGAGAGAGACCAGAGAGAGACCAGAGAGAGACCAGAGAGAGACCAGAGAGAGACCAGAGAGAGACTAGAGACAGACACGAGACCAGAGAGAGACCAGAGAGAGACCAGAGAGCAGAGAGAGACCAGAGAGAGACCAGAGAGAGACCAGAGAGAGACCAGAGAGAGACCAGAGAGAGACCAGAGAGAGGCCAGAGAGAGGCCAGAGAGAGACTAGAGAGAGACCAGAGAGAGACCAGGGAGAAACTAGTGAGAAACTGGGGAGAGATCAGGGATAAACCAGGGAGAGACCAGATAGAGACCAGAGAAAAAAACAGAGACAGACCAAAGAGAGACCAGAGAGAGATCAGAGAGAGAGACTAGAGGGAAAGAGACCAGAGTGAGAGATCAGAAATGTTTCTGTAGAGAGAGGGTTTTAGTTAGACCTGAGTGAAAAACACATCTTTCAGTCTGTTGTTCACAAACATTGATTCCAAAAGTATTGAACTATTTCTTCAACTCTTCCTGGTTGTGTTTCCATTACGCTTTAGTATCTGGTACCGTATCCTAGCAACCTACCCACAACAAACTAGTATCCAGGGAAATTCCTTGGTAACTATGAACACTTTAGCACCAGCTCGACTTGGATAGAACCAGGACCAGGAGGGACTAAAGAAGGACCTGGGACTGGTTACACAGGACCAAAGGAGAGTAGAGTAGAGTAGAGTAGAGTAGAGTATAGAGTAGAGTAGAGTAGTGTAAAGTATAGAGTAGAGTAGAGTAGAGTAGGGTAGAGTAGAGTAGTGTAAAGTATAGAGTAGAGTAGAGTAGAGTAGAGTAGAGTATAGAGTAGAGTAGAGTAGTGTAACGTATAGAGTAGAGTAGAGTAGAGTAGGGTAGAGTAGAGTAGTGTAAAGTATAGAGTAGAGTAGAGTAGAGTAGAGTAGAGTAGAGTATAGAGTAGAGTAGAGTAGTGTAACGTATAGAGTAGAGTAGAGTAGAGTAGGGTAGAGTAGAGTAGTGTAAAGTATAGAGTAGAGTAGAGTAGAGTAGGGTAGAGTAGAGTAGGGTAGAGTAGAGTAGTGTAAAGTATAGAGTAGAGTAGAGTAGAGTAGAGTAGGGTAGAGTAGAGTAGTGTAAAGTATAGAGTAGAGTAGAGTAGAGTAGAGTAGAGTAGAGTATAGAGTAGAGTAGTAGAGTCGAGTAGGGTAGAGTAGAGTAGAGTAGAGTAGTGTAAAGTATAGAGTAGAGTAGAGTAGAGTAGGGTAGAGTAGAGTAGTGTAAAGTATACATAGAGTAGAGTAGAGTAGAGTAGAGTATAGAGTAGAGTAGAGTAGAGTAGGGTAGAGTAGAGTAGTGTAAAGTATAGAGTAGAGTAGTGTAAAGTATAGAGTAGAGTAGAGTAGAGTAGGGTAGAGTAGAGTAGTGTAAAGTATAGAGTAGAGTAGTGTAAAGTATAGAGTAGAGTAGAGTAGAGTAGGGTAGAGTAGAGTAGTGTAAAGTATAGAGTAGAGTAGTGTAAAGTATAGAGTAGAGTAGAGTAGAGTAGGGTAGAGTAGAGTAGTGTAAAGTATAGAGTAGAGTAGTGTGTAAAGTATAGAGTAGAGTAGAGTAGAGTAGAGTATAGAGTAGAGTAGAGTAGTGTAAAGTATAGAGTAGAGTAGAGTAGAGTAGGGTAGAGTAGAGTAGAGTAGAGTAGAGTAGAGTAGAGTAGAGTAGAGTAGAGTAGAGTAGGGTAGAGTAGGGTAGAGTAGAGCAGAGTAGAGTAGAGTAGAGTAGAGTAGAGTAGAGTAGGGTAGAGTAGAGTAGAGTAGAGTAGAGTAGGGTAGAGTAGAGCAGAGTAGAGTAGAGTAGAGTAGAGTAGAGTAGAGTAGAGTAGAGTAGAGTAGAGTAGGGTAGAGTAGAGTAGAGTAGAGTAGAGTGTATTTAATGTATTTAAACGAAAGCTTAACCTAAAAGTTCAACAAAGAAATATAACAAAATAGAGGAAATTCAAAGTGAACAAAAGTCATAAATAAAAGTGAGTAAAGTGAGTCTTTCTCGTGCTGCTATGAGAAGAGAAACCTCGGGGTCGACATTAACACCAGAAAACAGCAGAACCAATAAATCAGCCGCAGAACCATGAGAACCATTAGAGCCCAGAGCGGAAGAGGGCTTTCCTGATGACATCACCGGGGTCAGAGGTTAAACACACAGCAGCAGGTGCAGGTGCCGTGGTCCACACCGGGATGTCGAAAACCTGCCGTTTCTCCCACACCGTGAACCCAGCACCAAAACCTGCCGTTTCTCCCGCACCGTGAACCCAGCACCAAAACCTGCCGTTTCTCCCGCACCGTGAACCCAGCACCAAAACCTGCCGTGAACCCAGCACCAAAACCTGCCGTGAACCCAGCACCAAAACCTGCCGTGAACCCAGCACCAAAACCTGCCGTTAAAGCTCCAGTGTGTCCCAACATGTGGACCCACAGTCTGCGTCGGCTTCTCCTTCAAAAGTACTTCATTTTTTAAGACCTAATATCATTTCTTTTATTATTATTATATTTTTATAGAGAGAGACCAGAGAGAGAGAGCAGGGAGAGACTAGAGAGAGACCAGAGAGAGAGACCAGGGAGAGACTCTTCAGGCCCACTGCTCTTTGTACTGGCCCCTATCCATACACACATGCAGAGGTGGGACTAGAGAGAGAGACCAGAGAGAGAGAGAAAGATGTCAGAGATACCAGAGAGAGAGATCAGAAAGAGAGACCAGAAAGAGATTGATATCAGAGAGAGACCAGGGATAGAAAGAGAGATCACAGAGGGACCAGAGTGAGAGAAAGATAAGAGAGCTACCAGAGAGAGAGAGAGAGAGACCAGATAGAGAGAGACCATGGAGAAATGGTTTAGGCCCACTGCTTTGTACTGGCCCCTACACACACACATGCAGAGGTGGTGTGCAGCTGTCGAGGGCTTATCTCCCTCATCACCCCCATGATTCCAACACGAGCTGTTTCCTCGACAGGTTCAGGCCCAGATGGTATCTCCACCCAAAGGAAGACATGGAAGTAAGAGGGTTTCTCATAAAGAAGAAGTTATGCACTGCCATCTGCAAGTACAGTAGCTCAAGAGAGCAAGAGAGAGCAGGGAGAGAGACCAGAGAGAGAGACCAGAGAGAGACCAGAGAGAGACCAGAGAGAGACCAGAGAGAGACCAGAGAGAGGCCAGAGAGAGACCAGAGAGAGACCAGAGAGAGACCAGAGAGAGACCAGAGAGAGACCAGAGAGAGAGACCAGAGAGAGACCAGAGAGAGACCAGAGAGAGACCAGAGAGAGACCAGAGAGAGAGACCAGAGAGAGACCAGAGAGAGACCAGAGAGAGACCAGAGAGAGAGACCAGAGAGAGATACCAGAGAGAGGCCAGAGAGAGAGACCAGAGAGAGACCAGAGAGAGACCAGAGAGAGACCAGAGAGAGACCAGAGAGAGAGACCAGAGAGAGACCAGAGAGAGACCAGAGAGAGACCAGAGAGAGAGACCAGAGAGAGATACCAGAGAGAGGCCAGAGAGAGAGACCAGAGAGAGACCAATGAGAGAGAGACCAGAGAGAGACCAGAGAGAGACCAGAGAGAGACCAGAGAGAGACCAGAGAGAGACCAGAGAGAGAGACCAGAGAGAGACCAGAGAGAGACCAGAGAGAGACCAGAGAGAGACCAGAGAGAGAGACCAGAGAGAGACCAGAGAGAGACCAGAGAGAGACCAGAGAGAGAGACCAGAGAGAGATACCAGAGAGAGGCCAGAGAGAGAGACCAGAGAGAGACCAATGAGAGAGAGACCAGAGAGAGACCAGAGAGAGACCAGAGAGAGACCAGAGAGAGACCAGAGAGAGACCAGAGGAGACGCTAGAGAGAGAGACCAGAGAGAGACCAATGAGAGAGAGACCAGAGAGAGACCAGAGAGAGACCAGAGAGAGACCAGAGAGAGAGACCAGCGAGAGAGAGAGACTAAACGCAGCGGTCCATTCAGATCTCTTGATGGTGGATGTGGTGATTGTATTTTCATTGTGTTTTGATGAAACTTGTTCTCCAAAACACACCACCTCCAAAAACCCTCTTTTCTGCGAGATCGACATGACCCCAATGTTTAGTCAAAACCACGTTGCTCTAACAACTATTATTATTTCTCTATTTTGACATTTCCTCCAGAAGTAATTGTCCGTAAGCGGCTTGTCTGGCATAATCAACAGAGCGCAGTGCCGGAAAAACAATTCGCAAACAATCTTTCTCCGGCGGTAAATGGTAGTCTTGAATATCCTTGTTAGAATCCGTCTCCCGCGGTTACGCAAGCCTCCGCGGCCCTCGTTGTCCGCGGTAACGAACATAAGCGTCCCATTTGAATAATACATTTGCCAAAGGCGGCGAGTGGAGTGGCTCCGGGCCGTATGGATGTCTCCGCTTCAGGACTTTCATTTAGTTTAAAGGGTTCTCTCTCCGCTCTGCTCCGCGGCCCATCTCGGCTGAAGGGTCCTCGTGGCCCACGGCGTATGCATGTAAACGACTCCCAGCCCCCGCGGAGTGCAAACACCCTCCAGCGATCGAGCGGGTGCGCGCGTGACCGGGGACGGCGAGGTGCGGTTGGTCACGGTTTGGGAGAGGAGGTGGTGTTGTGGAGAGGGCGAGGGAGGTGAGGAGTGCTCTCTTTCAGCCGCTGCTTTCGAAAAGGAGATGGATTCTAATGCATCAAGTTTTATATGGAACTTCTGCCAAAGACCGGAGAGAGAGACTAGAGAGAGAGAGCAGAGAGAGAGACTAGAGAGAGACCAGTGAGAGACCAGTGAGAGACCAGAGAGAGCAGAGAGAGAGACTAGAGAGAGACCAGTGAGAGACCAGTGAGAGACCAGAGAGAGCAGAGAGAGAGACTAGAGAGAGAGAGAGCAGCGAGAGAGACTAGAGAGAGACCAGTGAGAGACCAGTGAGAGACCAGAGAGACTAGAGAGACCAGAGAGAGACCAGAGAGAGAGACCAGAGAGAGACCAGAGAGAGACCAGATTGTAATTACATTTAGGTCATTCTTCCAGTGAGATGTCGTTCTTTATAGTCTCATTCTGAGTTTGCAGACAGTAGTTTTCAGAGTTGGGTAAAACACCTCCCTCTGGTGGCCGCTTGGGGACATCGCAGACCGTTAGCATTGTTTACCCTTCATACTTCACCATAGATTTCATTGCTTCATTCCTTAATCTTAAACATGATTCCGATGTGTTTTTTGAGTGATCTCTGCGTCGGGGAATGTTGGCCAAAGGATTTACGAGCAATTGTTGTTTTTTGAAGAGTACTCTGAGTAATCCAGACACACTGAGCTCAAAGTCCGTCTGTCGACACAGGACACAGCAGGTTCAGAAGAGTTCGTGAGTTAGACCTGAGAAGGTTTCAGATGTGATGCTCAGAGCCAGAGAAAAGCCGTCTCTGTCACCGGGCAGGAAACACGCTACATGTGATGAGCAGCACCCCCTGGTCTCTCTCTGGTCTCTCTCTGGTCTCTCTCTGGTCTTTCTGGTCTCTCTCTGGTCTCTCTCTGGTCTCTCTCTCTGGTCTCTCTCTGGTCTCTCTCTGGTCTCTCTCTGGTCTCTCTCTGGTCTCTCTCTGGTCTCTCTCTGGTCTCTCTGGTCTCTCTCTGGTCTCTCTCTGGTCTCTCTCTGGTCTCTCTCTGGTCTCTCTGGTCTCTCTCTGGTCTCTCTCTGGTCTCTCTCTCTGGTCTCTCTCTGGTCTCTCTCTGGTCTCTCTCTGGTCTCTCTCTGGTCTCTCTCTGGTCTCTCTCTGGTCTCTCTCTGGTCTCTCTCTGGTCTCTCTGTGGTCTCTTTCTGGTCTCTCTCTGGTCTCTCTCTGGTCTCTCTCTGGTCTCTCTCTGGTCTCTCTCTCTGGTCTCTCTCTCTCTCTGGTCTCTCTCTGATCTCTCTCCGGTCTCTCTCTGGTCTCTCTCTCTCTGGTCTCTCTCTCTGGTCTCTTTCTCTGGTCTCTCTCTGGTCTCTCTCTGGTCTCTCTCTCTGGTCTCTCTCTCTCTGGTCTCTCTCTCTGGTCTCTCTCTGGTCTCTCTCTGGTCTCTCTCTCTGGTCTCTCTCTGGTCTCTCTCTGGTCTCTCTCTGGTCTCTCTCTGGTCTCTCTCTCTGGTCTCTCTCTGGTCTCTCTCTCTGGTCTCTCTCTGGTCTCTCTCTGGTCTCTCTCTGGTCTCTCTCTCTCTGGTCTCTCTCTCTCTGGTCTCTCTCTCTGGTCTCTCTCTGGTCTCTCTCTGGTCTCTCTCTCTGGTCTCTCTCTGGTCTCTCTCTGGTCTCTCTCTCTGGTCTCTCTCTGGTCTCTCTCTGGTCTCTCTCTGGTCTCTCTCTCTGGTCTCTCTCTGGTCTCTCTCTGGTCTCTCTTTATGGACATCTGCCCCTTGTGTGTTTTGATCGTTGTGTGTTGGAACAGATTGATTCTCTGATCTGTTGTTGGAGAATCCACAACTTTGTAAAGTCGTCTGAGATAAATACTGTTGTGATTTAGGGCGACACAGAAATGAACTGAATTGAAAATCAGTCCCAACCCTTCCGTCCGTCAGCGTTAGGAGTTTGAAATGTGCGGCTTCAGCTCTCACCTCAGGACCTGCCACACACACACACACGCACACACACACACACACACAGACAGACACGCGCACACACACACACACACACACACAGACACACACAGACACACACACACACACACAGACATACACACACACACACACACGCGCACACACACAGACACACACAGACACACACACACAGACACACACACACAGACACGCGCGCACACACACACACACACAGACACACACAGACACACACACACACACACACACAGACACACACAGACACACACACAAGACACACACAGACACACACACACACACACACACAGACACACACAGACACACACGCGCACACACACACACACAGACACACACACACACACACACACACAGACACGCACGCACACACACACACACACAGACACACACAGACACACACACAGACACACACAGACACACACACACACACAGACACACACACACACACACACACACAGACACACACACACAGACACACACAGACACACACACACAGACACACACAGACACACACACACACACAGACACACACACACACACACACACACACAGACACACACAGACACACACACAGACACACACACACACACTGCAGATAAGAGCTGAGAGTTCACACGTCCAGAGTGTGCAGAGGTCATGGGTCCTCTTCAGCCTGAGCTCCTGAGAGTGTCCCGGGGCCACAGTGACACCAGACGAGGCCCTCAGGAGAGCCGCGTGCCGGAGCTGCTGGGAATGTGCTGAGAGCTGTTGATGGTTTTCCATGACGGACTCTTGCACTGATACTGGTTCAAGAAGGTCCCCCATGGTCTTCAGGGCGGACCCTCCCAGAGCTCCACATCCAC